TGGGGCTGTAGTGACAAGGAAATTAAAAAGAAAAAAGATTACGGAAGGTGGAATAGGCAGAACCGTGTAGAAAGCTGGCGGGTAAATAAACAAACAATGTAATTACAGGAATCAGAACCCACACGAAAAAGACGTTGGCCTCTTTCCGCTAGAACTTCCCGGATTAATCGATTAATCGACCAGGATAATATATTATTTAAATGTTCATGTTTTGTGTTGTCCACTAACCTTTAAAAGACTCGTATTCTTTTCCGTGACACGGATAATTACGATACCAGTTGCAAACGTCTTACCTGGGAATGTATGGCCGAAATTGGGCCAACATGGATTCTATAATAGTTATTGCTCCTGGTCGTTGGATGTCTTATGCATATTATGTTACTATATAGCAAAAGGTCGGTCACTGTAGCCGAACTTGGAAACCGGGATCGTGGGTTCGAATCCCACTCAGGGCATGGATGTTTATGTGCGTTTTTCTGTGTTTGTGTACAGGTAGAGGCCTTGCGACGACCTGATCACCCGCCCAAGGAGTCCTACCGAATGTGTGAGGTCTTGAAAAACCGAAGTGAACGGAGAAGTTCATGGAGGCAGGCCTAGGCCCACTGGGGCTGTAGTGCCAAAGGGGAAAAAGAAATATAGCAAAAGATGTCCCCCAAACGGTATAGCAACTCAGTAGGCCTTCTTAGAAAGCTAAGTGATGAGTCGTACGGCTTATCAAACATCAGACTGCAATACTTGGTTTAAAAAAGAAAATCCTCTTGATGAACGCGATGGCGTGCATACTTCAGGTATGTGTTTATTAGCAGTTTGCATGCATGATCTAAAGATTACTTTGGCTAGAAAACCTCCATGCTTTCTAAATGAAAGACACCTTAAAATATTTTTCAGTTGATACAATTGTAATTCATTTACAGCTGTTAGTTAGCTGCACATCTTTTCATGGCGTAAATCGTGTTGAGGTGTAGTCATTACAATTCTATGCCTGGATACACAGCCTATAATTCGTATTTTTAAAATAAATTTTATTTGGCATACAGATCCCTAACCCTACATATAGGTGTTAACACTTATATATACTTTTAGCATACCTTTATATGTTTTAATAATATTTCAACATTTTATATATGTACACCTTTATTCTATCTTTTATTATTCTTATTATTTTTGTTATTCTTAATTATGGATTTGCTATTTTAACTACACACTAATCTGAGGCAAGTTTTTATGTTAATTTTGAATGTGACGCGTTGCACCAATAAGGATCTGTATCAGTATTTCAATAACTGTACGTATTCCTGCCTGATGATGGTCATGCATGACCGAAACATGTCGCAGTAAAATAAAGATCTAAATATAATACTGAAATATGTGTTGTGTTGACGGTAGCAGAGTTCCTACATATTATATATTGTCTATAATTCTTAGGTTATTCTGGTCTGATATTAGTAGGAACATAAAATTAAAGACTATGAATTGGGTGGGGCACGTAGCACGCATGAAAAATGTAAAATGTTCGTATATGAACAATTCTACTTGAAACTTGCGATGAATACGACCACTTGGATAACCTAGGCGTTGAAGGATAATATTGAAGTGGATTTTATAGCACTGTAGTGTGATGCATGGACCGGGTTGAACTAGTTAAATATGGGATTGAATGGCGACCTCTGATTAACTATAAAATTAATCTATTCGATATAGTGACATTGAGGGAAGCAGATGAAGATAATTCGATTCTTTAAAAACATTAGATTCTGAAATAATCATTTCACAGCAGGAAGTAATAAAAATCGTGACACTAAAATGTAAAACACTCTAAAGGTAATCTGTATTTTTACGCGAAATTGTAATTGTCTTGGTCAAAAGCTTCAAGTTAATATTCATTACCCCTTATCAAGTATCCCTTTACTTAAGCACCGTATCATGAAAATGTATGGGCAGTAAAAACATAGATACAGTCATTCATAACCGCAACACTAGACAGAGGTCATTTTCAGCCACTTTACATCCGGGAAAAGCGCTTCCGGTACTCACCGGAAAAAGGGCTGGGCTGGCTTCAAGAGTCGGTCCGGCAATAGTGGCAAGGACAAAAATCAATGCCACCACCGGGAATCGAACACCGACCGTTCATCCTTTTCCAGTATAAACTACGTTTATAGAATTGAGTTTTACCTCCAACCCCATCAGAAATGGCGACATTACCCCACCAGACAGACTTATTTATATATATATTTAATTACTTGCTTAAGTTGTATTAACAATTTTATGACGTGCCTGGACCGAGAATGAGGTATTTAACATAGGCGATCAGCCAACAGGCGTGTGTAAAGACTTTATTCCAGCATTCAATATCAAAATCCCCTCAATTGCAAGATGGAACACAGGTAAAATATAGGCAAAGATGTCCCTGTGTTTAATTATGTATCACGTCATGAAGATTGGCGGGAGAGTGGAGATATAGCTTCACGAAATCTTAATTTCAGCGTCAGATGGAGATGAATGACAAGCTTCACGTCCTGGCCGCTCTACACTCGGGTAAACAGTACTTGATACCCATTGGGTAAGAGGCTGGGTGAGCCCCAGAGCCAGTTTGTGCAGTTTGAAGGAAACAAACCTCTCTTGCTCCTGCCGGGAATATGAAGATGTAATACGAGTACAGGTTATACGTGGAAATGTACTGTACAAATGTTCAGGTTCTCACTGCTGTTAATGTTCAGATTGCAGCCTTTTGGGTTGTCAGACCGCGCAGTCTAAGAGTGGATGAAAAGACTATATTATATATATATATTATTTATTATACTGCAATTGGGTTTTAGCCCGGTGGCAGTACTACACAATAGGACAATAGACAAGTAACACACATTACACTAAGTGACAACACGTTCAAACAAAAAACAATACACAAAACACAACAATAAGGACATCCTACCACAATGAATACAAACCAAATACGATTAACAACTACAACAATTACAGAGAAATACAAACAACAACTACCCGGTGACATGGTCCATAAGACGGCAACCTGTACAAATATACGGTTACATACACGTAAATACCTTCAGCCTGTGTTCTGAAGAAGTGACCTGCTGCGGTGGTGTGCTGGCAGTACTTGAACTTGATGAATGTGTCATGATGAATAACAACTTCGGAGAAACTCGGCTATAATAGTGATTAATATATGCACAGAGTCGTGTTGTTTTCTGTAAACATTATTTTAGTCGCATTCGACATATTCCAAATGCCGTGGCTTCGGAAAGAAGACATACACTCTTTAAATTTCATTATGCATTAAACGACTACTGATAACTACTAATTATTTAATTTATTCATCACTAGTTAACAATATCCTCAATATTCAATCCATTTTCAACACTACGTCATTTTCTTAATCCATCTTCTGTCACTTTAAATAAGAACATCCGTTTTATAATAATTACTAGCAATTTCATAAAATAATTAATTTGCCTCTTGGTATTCACTTATAAATTTATTGATGAAGTCTGACTTAGATAACCATGAAAATTTTTGTGCTCTTCTCAAACGTTACTCAATTGACACGTCACGAATGACAATGCCTTTAAATTATAGAAGATGACGCAAAAATTAAAAGACACATTGCATTTCTTTTTATTACTTCAATACTGGAGCTACTGGGCAGAAGTGTCCACACTCAGCTCGACTGGATCGCTTCTGACACGTCGGCGTAACGTAACAAAAACACTTCTAGACATTGATCGCTGAGCGTATGAGTGTGTGTATGTATGTATGCTTGCCACCTTCCCTACGGACATTTGTGCAAGGAATATTATTTTGGTCTAAGGCACAGACATGTTAATAACCAAAGGACGTCAAAAAAAAAAATAAGCAAAATAACAACCAACTAAATGCCTAAATAAACAGGTATTTACGTGCACTTTCTCGCCCTAATGGAAAAGGTACACTGAGATTTTTTAGAAAAAATTTATGAGGGGAATATATGTACCTAGTTATTATTAGTTATTTTAGAGAGGGTGGGTTTCCCCATGCACCGCGACCAGTTTGATCTATTGTGCTTCCCTCTATGATATTCTACCAGTCTCTTTACCCTACCGATAAATGGTGCGTACCATCAGTCCCGCCGAGCAA